TGTTCCCTCTGGGTAGTTGGCTATGACCAAGAATGACTACCACCTTGTTCTTTGTCAGCTCTACTATACACCTGGGAATTCAGATCATACAAATACACTTCTAGGACCATTGTCTGCCAACCCTATATATGGTCTTGGGTACACTCCCCGCTTCATAGACATACCTAATATTTCAGCCTGTCCACCCATCTATCAACCCGTATAGCCATGTTTGCCTTCACTGACAATGCAGTACCGTATGTGCAAAAGGGTTCATCTTTGTTGTCTGTACCTCCCATGAACCTCTCTGTGTCTTCCTCTTCCTCAGTGCCACCATGTTGATCACTCACATTTGGTACATTGTCCTTCTCTTCACCCAAATCAATACTTATCTCTGCCTATCTAATAGTGTTCCCTACCCTCTGATCTGATTTCTTAACTTAAGGAATAAAAAGATATTTTATGTGTTAGAACTAAGGGGAAAAGAGAGAGGAAAGAAAATGAAAGAAATAAAAGGATTTTGATACTGAGACCATTCTAAGAAAATTTAAAGATTGTTTTCTACTTGAATGTGGTAGGATGCTTGTTAGATGAACTATAGTAGTAATTGAGGATTAGGGAGAAAACCAGAACATTAGAATAAATTGAAATTTTATGTATCCAAAAATATAATCTTTTAAGTATATTTAATATTTAAAATGGGAGCTCTGGTTATGAGTCGGGGCCGACTCGACGGCACATAACAACAACAACAACAACAACAACAACAACAAATATTTAAAACATATTGAATATATTTTGTATTTACTATAGTAAATACATCTTATTTTTAATGTACTAAATATATTTTTATATATAATATATCATCTTTATATGTTGCTATTGCTGTTGTTGTGTGCCATTGGGTCATTTCTGACTCATAACAACACTATTGCAGAGGAGAGTTGCCCATAGGTTTTCTCATTGTTAGGTGCTGTCAAGTCAGTTCCAACTCATAGAGACCCTATGTACAATAGACCAAAATACTGCCCTTACCTGCACCATCCTCACAGTCATTGCTGTGTTTGAGCCCACTGTGTCAAT